TAGAGTTTTCCCTTATGGGGACCAGGAAACCGGGCCCCATAAGGGAAAAAAAACGGATATTTATCACATTATGGGGACATTATGTCCCCATAAGGGTAGGTAAACCTGTTCACACACACACACACACACACACACACATACCTGGTTCGTATAACAAATATTGAAACATTCTTATGGTTTTACTTTTGCAAACAATCCCCCCCACACCATTGCCACCCCTGTGCCAAGGAAGAGGAGGAGGAGGAGGAGGAAGGGCACTCACAAGCCTTCCCTGTAGCCGTCGATGAGAGCCTGGAAGAGCGGCTTGTTGTGTGGGATGGTCTGCAGGATGTTGCCGTCATTGGTGACGTAGCCGATGGCCCACTGGCCCAGACGGGTGCAGCTCAGCCTGAAGATGTAGCTGGGGGGGGGGGGGCTTTACTCACTGACAGCACAGGAAAACGTTGTTCATCTAAAATGAACCCCACCCCCCTGAGCCCTGCTGCAGGAAGGCCAGCGCCGTGGCGGACGCAGCCAGGCCCCCCCGAGTCACAGCCAACCAACCGATCACTGCAGTCCGGCAGGACCCCAGCGCCCAGGAACACCCCCAGACCCCAGCCCCAAGGCGTCCACCGACAAGCCTGTGCCGGTGCAAAGTACCTCCCCTTAAATCTGTATCAAGGCCACAGGCGCCTGCCGGATACCTTTAACTCACAACTTATTTCTGTGTCCTCGGAAAAATTTCATAAATCACCACAAAGCATATGAAACAGACACAGAATGTCCAACCAAAATGGCAAACTCCAGCAGGGCGGCGTCCCCACACCCCTCAGAGCTGGGCCTCTGTCGCACCCTGGGGGTGAGGGATTCCCCTCAGGGCTCCTCATCCAGGTTCAAGTTCTCGGGCCATCTAACCCCGAGGTAATTAACCACACACCCCCGTCTCTCTTGCCACGTCAAGTCACCGTGGAAACATGAGCGTTTCTATGGCACTACATGGCTAATGGCGCCTTTCATTTTCCTGCTGTGTGCCCGATAATCAATTAATGATAAAAAAAAATAAAAATAAAAAAACAAACTGATTACCACCATAAAGTTTGTTATTATGCCTGTTCGTGTAAGATGACACAGATGCTTATGGTAGGCAACCCAAAACCTGCCGGTCTGGTGAACCAGAAGGCTGTGGGTTCAAGGGATCAGTAGCCTCAGAATGAGTTTATTTTTGACGTTAATCAGACAAGACAGCGGTTTAGGATGGAGGGGCCCCGGAGGAAAGCTCGCCACATCTTCTGTATTGATACACTGTGTTATAGGGTATATGCGCTCCCTCGCCCTCCCCCCCCCCCTCATGTGACCCAGCAGACAGATTTCCCAAGTACTACTCATACAAAAGACAAATAAAATTTGGTAAATGACTCTTGACCCCCCCCAACCCCACCGCAGTCAGCAGTTTGGTATCTGCAGGTT